CCTGTCTTGAATGGCCTTCACGGAGAACATATTTAAATAAACTCAATAGAGATTTCAGACAGATAGCAACTATAATTACCAGCTTGTACAAATTAAACCATGGTTTGTTCTGTTCTTTTTCTCCTGCTTTCGCTGCCCAGAGCTCCTGCTAATCATGTTCTTGCTGCCAGTGGCACGCGGGTCCCCGGGGCGTTGCTGCGCGTGCCTTTGGAAAGCCTGCGCCGTGCCCAGCGCTGGGGTGGGCAGATGGGGCTGCACGTGGGCATCCAGCATCCCCACCGTGCTGCTCCTGGGCTGCGATGACAGGGATTTTGGGAAGGGATGCAGCAGCCTGGTGATGGAAATACCACATGTGGAAGGCAGCATGGTGCTCCCCAGCATCAGCCCTGCCTGCTTTCCCCCTCCTACTTCTGCTGAGGTTTTAATCTGAAGTTTTCTCCCCTTGGAGCTGCAAGACCACTCAGATATGTGCCTCAAGGAGCCCACATTGGAGCTTACAGCTTGAACAAGCAGTGCTGCCTTCCCAGCACTCAGCAATAAGCCATCTGCACCGAGCGCGCGGTTTGTTAGGAAGGATAAGGTCAGGCCACACTCATTTCCTCTGCGGTCACTTGGGACAGCCATAGATGCTGCCTGCTCTGGCATTTGGCAAAGGTCAGCCAGCCCCAGTGCTGCCAGGCATGCAGTGTGTGCATTTACATTGAGCCTGCTCAGTTATTCCTGCCCTGCCTCATTGCACCCTCCCTGTTCCATGTAATGCCTGTAAGTGCCTTAGTCAGAGTTTGGGTGCTCAGGCTTATCTATTTTCTCCCATTTTTTAGACAAATGCAATAACTGCAAGCAAGGTCATTTTCTGGCACCCAGGCTGTGACAGAGAGTGGAGAACGTCATGCTGGTTTAATGAGGGAAAATGGATTTTTCATAGCAGGGGAACAGTTCTGTTCCCATGATCTCTAAAGGTGAAATAGGAGTACCGTCACATTTCCTGCCCTCTCCTCGCTCTGTGAGCTGGCAAGGACACATCTACCACTGTAGGAGATGCTCACATGGCGCCAACGAATGAGCCAGGATTTCCCCTGCCCCAGCAGCAGCACATTGCCCAGTGCTTGGGGCTGCCCAGGGGAGCTCAGACAGAATGTTAAAAATTTGCTCAGGTCTCTCTTCTATTAAGGTTTTTTAGTTTGAGCTGAATTGTCCAGGCATCCAGGGCTATGCATGCGTATCCTCTTGGGTCTGAGGTGCACAGTGCCAGTCAGATGATCTGATTTTTCTTCCTCTTGGCTTTTCACAGAATGTTTGAGTCCTGTATTTCTTGGTGGGTTGTTTCCTGGGCTCTACATGATGGAAAATACTGTGAGACAAGGTACAAGGGAGGCACCTCCTGTTCATTGTCATAGAATCATAGAATGCCTTAGGTTGGAAGGGATCGTGAAGATCATCTAGAAAGACCACTAAGGTCATCTCAACCAGCCACTGACCCATCACCATCATGCCCTAAACCATGTCCCAGAGTGCTACATCAACCACAGAATAATAGAAGCACAGAGCATAGCATCATAGTTGTATTTTAGTCCAGAACAGTTCACTCACTCTGTGCCAACAGCTTGGTCAGGGCAGAAGCATCCCCAGAGGCAGGCAGAGCCCTCCAGTGCCTCAGTTTCCCTTTGTGAAAGAGAGCTGCTAATCCTTCCCATGCACTCCACATGCCTAAATTCACCAGAGCCCACGCGGTGTTCTGATGCTATGGCAATGGGGCAGCGTGAGGACAAGACCAGCTGATTAGCATTGAGATGCAGCAGTGAGCCTTTGGGGTATCTGGTTTCATTCCCTACCTCTGGGGCAAGCCGGATATAGAAAGGGAGTCATGCAAAACAGAGCAAAGTCTCTATTTCAAAGCTGGGGTTGAGCAAATTAAAATGTAACGTGTTCAAAAGCTCACTTCCTTGGATGGCAGACAAAAAAAAATCAATTTCCTTGAAACAAATACTAAATATTAATGAGAGGATATGGTCTGCCATGCACAGAAAGCTGTAAAGAGCAGTTCCCGTTGATCAACTGCAGAGGCGAGCTCCTGAGATGAAATTGTTTTTCGAGCAGATATTTGTGGCCCGTCTCAAGGCGGCTCAGGAAGGTTTACCCACCCAAAAAAAGAACAAGAAACTCAGAACATTGCCTTCTTGGTATCAGGGCAGCCACTGGGGATGTGTGCCTGTGCTTTCATTTTTGTTTTCACGTTAGCCCAAGCGGCTGGGGAGATGGCTGGGTTGGTGTGCACAGCAATCGACACGGCGTTACGTGGGCAGGGAATGATGCCCGGGGAGGTGGAAAATGCCAAAAGCAGAGCATGGGACCCAGCAGCACAGCCAGTTCTGCAACCATGTCTGCTCGCTGAATTATTTCTATAATGAGCATTGGGGAAACATTCAGCAGTCTCTTACAGCCATCAGCAAGATTCCTAAAGTAAAAGCACAGGCCTTTTGAAGAAAGCCTTGGATTTTTCTACTGTTTTGACTCTTGGGTAAGGCAAGAAAGTTGGTATTACTCTGTATCCAAACAAGGAGGCTGGAAAACTGAAAACACTCGGACAGCTGGCACGTGGGTCTTCCCATTCCGATGCCAAGATCGCTCAGGTTGCCCAGGCACAGCGCTGGGAGCGTGGGCAGCCAGGCTCAGCCCAGGGAACAGGCACGGCACCGGGAATAGCTGCAGCCGTGGAGGATGCCAAAATCATCTCGTATCCGTCATGCAGTAAATAAAAACACGTTGGCTCATGATTCTGTAAAACCATAACGCCAGCTGCGTAACCGCAGGTTGAACAAGAGCTAATATTAGCCAGCAAACAACTAAAATTAGAAAATCAGAAATTGAGCCAGAACTAATTAGCTGCTCAAGGAACAGAACCAGAACCAGAACAAATTAATTGTTAGGAAGCTGAAATACCAGTGTGGGACCCCTCAGGAGGTCTCCGGGCAGGCTGTTGCTCGGTGGTGAGTCGTGTGTGAGCTCCTGGGGTGCTTGGGGAAGAGTCCCAGCTATGCCCAAAGGCTGAGGCAGCCCAAGAGGAGGTGATGTGTTGGTGCACGGAGCAGCGCTGACACAGCTGGGACATCTCCTGAAGGGCTCAGAAATGTTCTTCATCCACCTTGTTTTGTAAACCAGCACTATGGCAAGGGGAATTAACAAGACCACCAGAAGAGCTCTACTCAGCCCCACAGCACTGCCAGCTCCACTCCTGCCGCTGGCTGAGATGCTCTGCAACTCTCCCAACAGCAGCCAGGAGCTGCAGCCATGCGAGCGCCGCTAGGATAATTTCCAGGGAATTAAGGAGCTCACATAGATAACGGGCACGTGGCTGCATTTCTCATCTGTGACTCAGTCACCTGTATGGTTACTTCTTTTCCTTTCCGAAGCCAGTAACTCACCCCATATTTCTTTTTCCCATCTCTCAGCGTTCAAACAGCAGCTCCCATTTTAGCAGCAGCGTGACGCACGGTGTTTTAAATTCAATTTAGAATACAAACTATTTATACCAGCCAGAAAAAGGCAGCGAAGCAGCTCTCTCTGTCATGAGTGGATTTGTAATTTCGGAGCAATCATTGCATAACTAATTGAATCAGCTCTCAGCATGTGAAATCAGTGCCCTGCTTATCGGAGGTTTTCATCTCACTCCCCTCCTGAAGCCAGCAGTCCCCCTCTACCTTGTGCTTCTGCATCAGCCTGGGAAGAAGGCAGCACCTGCAAAGCTGCCCTTCTCTGCTCGCTGCTTAAATGAAGCCAATAGATTACCAAATGCACTCAGAATAGCTGTATTATGGGTGCTCCCCAGAGCTGCCCATGCGAGGGGCTGAAGTGTGTCTGAAGCTAATGAAGAGCCAACCATGTCTGAGAAGCAAATTGATGTTCAGCCGTTCCCCCGACTCCTGCCTCTCACTCCATTGCCTGGGTGTGCTTGGATTGGCTTGAATTCAGGGTCTGATCTAAACCATAGAATCACAGAATTATAGTATGGCTAAGGTTGGAAGACACATGGGACATGGTTTAGTGGGAGCTGTTGGTAATAGGTGAACGGTTGGACTGGTTGATCTTTTAGGTCTTTTCCAACCTTGGTGATTCTATGATTCTATGATTCTATGACCTTACAGACCACCTAGTTCCAGACTCCTGCTCTTGAAAAGGTTTCCATCCACTAGATCAGACTGCCAGGGCCCCCCTTGAGCACATCCAGGGATGGGGCACATACAGGAATGGGGCACATAAAGCTTCTCCGAGAGCAGGAGGGCCACAGTACAGGATCTGAAAATGAAACCTAGAAGAGGCAATAGATATACCCACAGCATTCCGAGGGATACAGACAGGCAGAAAAGTTAGTCATGTAAAGACTTTGGTCTGCTTTGGGGTGAAGATCCCAATTGTGGTGACCTGGGTGGATGCAGACCTCCAGTTTTGGGGAGCAGTTCCAGCCACCTCCATGCAGCAGCATCTTGGGGTGTGAAGGGCACCTCACTTTGGGCAGGGGGCCATCAGCTTCTGCTTCTCTGTAAAACCTGGAGCTCTTTTGGAAGCAGGCTGGGAGGAATTACCCCTGTCAGGTGTGCTCCCACAGCTGGATGTAGATCACAGAGCCTGGAAAAACAAACCAGAGTGTCCATCACCTGCTCTGGGATCTGTTTTTCTTCTTCCTTGCAGGAGCCTGGGACTCTTCCAGTCTCTCTGGGACATCCTCAGCAGTGCTCTCAGCCTGTTAAACAAGCCAGGGAATCCCTGAGGTTGATGTGAAGCAGGCTTTCTGAGAGCCAGTGCTCAGTGCTGCTGGCTTGTATGCTGGACAGGGAGATGTTGGCACAGTTAGAACCGGGCTTTCCTCCCAGGCTCCATTTAAGCCACATCAAATCAGTGATCCCTGCTTGCTTCTCACCCAAAGCCATGGAGACAGTGCTCTCCGAGCAGCAGTGGGGCTGTGCACCTCCAACCACCTCTTCTGTTCTCTATTGTCTCTCCAGGTAGCAAGATGGGAACACAAAACACGGGCACTCAGCCGAGGCTTCGGCTCTCCACGCACCGCCTGCTACTGCCTGGGCGCTGTTATCCTGCTGCTCAACTGCGTGCGCAGCCACTGGTAAGGAGCTCACTCTACTGCTATGCATAAATGCAAAGAAGTGCATCTGCAAGGCAGGGTGATGAGGGACATCTGCTCTGCAGTGTTGTATCCAGCCTTATGTGCTGTTGGTTTATGCCTTCAGCCAGATTTATTCCAGGATTTGGAGTTCTGCTGGCAAGCAGAGGGATGAGATGGGGTGGCTGTGTTCAGGAGAGCAAACCATCAGCATCAGCAGCCATCAGACACCACAAGTTTTCTTGTCCCTCTCTCTCAGGGTTGTTTCCCCTGCCCTGTGTGCAGTCCAGGTGGCAGGAAGGCTGTTTGCTCAGCACGGATCATATGTAACGGCAAAATCTTTTCATTTTCTCATGGAAACCATAAACAAAATTAAACCTGTTTTTAAGAAGCTGCAGTTTCCTGAGCAGAAGAGTGGGATTATCTGTGCACTTAGCAAGCAGTCTCTTTAAACTCTCATCTGTGATCTGTTTAAATACTACCTGTGCTAGCTAATAGTGTTGTATGACTGATGCACTGTACACCATGGGAATACGCCTTTTGACGTTCTAAGTGCAGCAAAGAGGTTTACTGCAGAAGATTTCCTCAATGCCAGCAATTTATCTGTGATCTGATAGGCTTTATCTTCAACGCTGTTAGAAGAGACAGACTCTACTAAATTTCCAGATTCAATTATGCCAGGGTCAGAGCTAATGGGTTGTTTAGTACTTCAGGTAATTTCCCAGGCACCGAGATCTCAGGTTGGAATTTGCACATGTAGTTAAGAGCTTTGCCTTCCTGGAAGTGACACCGAGACCTACTCTTGCCCTTCTGCGTTTGTCACAGCTACTGCTTATTGCAGAAGCCATAAGAAAGCCTGGAATGAATGTGGCCATAATTGAGTTCAGGCATTGCAGAGGGCATGTGTGTGCTCTGCTCATGTCTCAGTGACATTGTGTGCTAGGATTTGGTTGGAGTATGTCTCAGCAATCTCTTGCACAGATGACATAGCTGCTTGTTGTCTGGGAAGCAATGCAAAGCTTTGTGCCCAGCCTTTAATTAAAAACACAGCTGTAGAAGGGGCAGCCTCTGCTCCCAGCGGTCCTGCAGAGCTCCAGGGTCACCATGTGGCACTGATAGGGCATGGCTGGGAGGGACAAAGAGGCTGACCTGTCCCAACATTGTACCTCACACTATTCAAACAAGGCAAGTCCTTGCCAGTGGGAGCAATGGAATGATTTCAAGATGAGCATTGGATCTGCAGCTGCTGGAGATGGCCTGAGAAACACCTGGACAACGCACTGCCTCCATGCCCAGCTCAGCCTGCCCACTACACTGCATCCCAAAGCTCCAAATCAGCCTTTGAAACTCCTCTCTGTATGCTTTGAGGGTGTTTTTGTTGGGTAGGGGCTGCAGGTTGGCATCCTGGCCGGAAGCCCCTATTGCAGGGCCACATGACTGCTTTGCCCCATGCTCCGTGCAAGGGGCCCCTCCTCCTTCCTGTCCCCACTTCAGCGCCATGGCAGTCTCCAGTTTCCCTCCAGATGGATACCTCAGTTGGAAGAGGAGGGATATCCTATGCTTGTTAAGCAGGTGGGTGTTTCCCTGTTCTGAACTTTTTTATCAGCCTTGGTGAGTTTCTGAGAAATAATCCAGAACGACCTGTGACCAGCGAGGACAAGCTTAGTCAACGGCACAAGACAGGCTTCTTTAATTGCTCTGGTGTGATGATGACTTTCACAACAATCGAGTTCTTTCTACAAGAAGCCAGGAATTTCCACCAGCAAGTCCCTTATCAGCGAAAACACCTCCTGAACTTTTGAACCATTGATCTGCATCATTCATTACCCAAACAACAATTACCCTCAAACAGTTTATGACTGTTTGACATAGGTTGTGACAACCCTTAAGGTCCTCCAAATTTCCGTTCAGTGTCACTCTCTCCTGCACTAGCCACCCTGTTGACACCACATTGACTGCAAAAAGCCTCTGGTGCTGCCGTGCTCCCCTTTGAACACTTTTGCAAGCTCCCTGGCTCAGAGCAAACACCTGCAGGTGCTTCTGTACACAGGGAGCTTGTGGACTTCCCATTTTCAGGATGTTGGGGCATTTGTCTGAGCTATAAGGCAACACCCACACACATGTGGAGGACGTTGCAGATGCAGAGCAGAGCTCTCAGGGAAGCCAGTGGTGTGTTGCCTTCGGTCCAAGTGAGCTCCATGGAGGCTGAGCAAGGGCGGTGCCTTTGGCACCATGCTCTGTCTGCTCAAGAGAAAGAATCTACCCTAAGGTAGGTCTTTGCCCAGGGAAGGGATGTACACCGCTCCCTGGTATTGTTCCTCAGCTTTACGCTCAGTGCTGCATACTTCCTGGCTCTTGTGTCAAAACAGAGGTGGTGTAAATGGCACTGACAGAGTGCTTTGTGCAGAAATGACTGTGCTCTGATGAGAATTGAGCCTAAAGCAGCCAAAGTCACCTCCAACATTGTCCAGGAAAAGCCCCAGGTGGCCCAAAGCACTCCCAGGTGCCACTGCCAGGCAGGGGAATAAGCTGCTGCTCAACAGTGTGACCTAAATAACTGACAGTGGTGCAAGCAAAAAAGCAAAGTCATTACTGGCAAAAGAAGCTGTGAAGATGATGACCAGGCTGAAAATTGCTGATGCTACTGGTAGGACTATTTCAGCATTTGTTTCTTTAATGAACAAGGTCTTTTGTTGCAGTGTGCATGCGGCACTGTTTGCTGCTGGGCTCCACTGGATGGGTTCACCCCCGTTGCCTGCTATTGCCACAAGGAACAAAGCCTTCAGCACAAGGACGTCCTGCACCTCTGCTGCTTCCCGCTGCCTCCTGCCCCTGGCCCAGTTCTGCCCCAATTGCACTTGCCCAGTTTCCAGGCTGATTTTTGGGATCATTAAAGGGAGCATCGCAGCAGCGACCCAGTTTGCTTGATGAGGTCTTTGCCCTCCTTTATGGGAAAGGGATTACAAAATGTGGTCACTGTGGGCCACATTTTGATGGAGGCCTGGAGCTGCTCTCTCCATATGGCAACACTTCCAGGCTTGCTTCATGCTTCATGTGACTTTTCGGGACGTACTTAGGCTGCATGGCAAGCTCTCTGGTGTTGCAGTCATCTCTTAACTAAATGAACGCCTGCTTCTACAAACTTGGCTGGTGCCTCCAGTACCCACAGCACATTTTTCTCACCCTGGTGCCCAACACACCACGGGTTAAAACCACTTCCACCTGTGTGACGTCCCCATCCCCACACTGCAGGGCCATTTTGTGGGTGTTTTTCCAGTTCATGTACTTTATTCCCACGCAGCAGCACCTCCTGCGTAGCAACAGATGAGTGTCTGAGCGCGTGCCTCTCTGTTTCGGGAAGGGTGGGCCAAACAGTGCCTGTTGCCTTGGCTCCCTGGTGCAAAGCCAGCCAATGTACACAACTGTGGTGGCCACGGGCTGTTTGCAGCCCTCAGGAATTGGCCAAATCTGCTGCTTTGGTGGATTTGGGTTTTACACCTGTGCCACTCACACTGGAAAGCTGGCAGATACTCATAGGGAGATGTTGGAGGAAGCATCATCCCCTCCTCAGAACTGGGGGCACACGCCCCCCCAGACACAGGCACCTTTAAGCCAGCAGCCAGGGGTGTGATTAAAGTAGGTCACAGCCCATCTATCTGTGCCCTGTAAGAGAGGAGCTCCTCACCATGGCAATCGCTGCGCTCGGCGCACAAAGCATTTCCAGGTACTGGGACAAAGCATGGCTCTAATTGAGGTCCTCTTGGGCGCCGAGCCGGGACACAGCCGTGAGATGTAGCCAGAAATACAGGCTGCAATGAATGTGACTCAGAGGCACATGGCAAAGGGAACGGCTGCATGACATGGAAGGAGACAGCCTCCGCCTGTTCCTCCTGTGCCAGGAGGGTGAGCCTCAGAGCCGCCGTGCTCCCCTGCCACCCAGGAGCAGTCACAGATGCCAGAATAATTGCTGTCTCTGACAGCTCCATGCTGCTTGTCGTGGCCCGGCATCATAAATGCTTAAAAGGTTTATTTACCAATCCTGAAAACTCCAGTGTGCATCATGTTTAATGCAAATAGAATGTGCGTTTAGGAAGATATAAAGCATCACTCGAGGGAAAGGCAGTCCATTATCTGCATGCAAACACCTCCCTCTCTAGCTGTAAGCTGAACAGCAGGGGACTAAGTGGGACATGTTGATGAGGGCAGCTAGTGCAGCCATACCAAAAAAAAGGGGGAATGGGATCATCTGGAGCAGGGAAGATGTCTTTGCCAAAGCAAACCCCCATCACAGATTGGTTGCAAAGCTGATTTGTGGTCATCTCATTCGTGTCACCTTTGTTCTTCTTGTACTCCAAAGCCAAGCAGGGTCACGAGCATAGGAAAGGGAAGGCTCAGAGATGCGTAATGGCATGATTCCTGATCACCCTGAGCCAAAAACAGCCTCTGAGCAATCACTTTGCACACAAAGCCAGGCTGTGCTGATAGCGGGGATGCAGGCCTGGGCTTCGTCATAGGGGACACTTGTGTCACTTAGTAATAAATACCAGGGATGTCATGAAAAGGGATGTGAGGCTGCTGCGGCTTCACGATAAGGCAGGATGGCACGTTTCCGTCAGCACTGATTTTAAGCTGAACCAAACTGAAGCTGGTGAGAGGAGGGAGGTGTGCTGGGCACTGCAGCAACTCTCCCAGGCTCTTTCCTGCTCTCTCCCAAGCACATGATATTTATTCTATGTTTTGCTGCTTTGCTCCAGTCCAAAGTGAAAATGAAGCACCTTGCTGTGGGGCCTAAAAGCTCCCAGAGAGCAGTAAATCTTATAGGAAAGAGCTCCAAGGAGAGCAAAAAATATCATCCAAGTTTCTAAAGCATAAGGATGAGGAATCATCCCTGGCTTTGCTCGATGTGTGCCTTCCATCTGCCTTCTGAGGCTTTGCAAGGTGTGCTTGCAGCCACATCTCTGGCAGGGCTCTCGGCTTCAATTGAGGCAGCAAAGAAAACCGAGGGATTTGCAAGACTCAGAGAGCTGGACGTGAAAAAAAAACCACATCCCAAATGCTGCAGATAACGTCAGGGCACTCAGTGCATGGTGGAGCAGCCAGGGAAACCACTGGGCTCCTTCCACGTGAAGATCCAGGAGCACGAGGAGGAAAGGCTGTGCCCAGCAGGCAGCAATGGCCAGAGGCAGGAGTGCTGTTATTCCACTTGAATTTCAGTCTCCAGGGTGCCCATTTAAAAAAAAAAAAAAAGCTGCAAGTTTCCTACCTCGTGTGTCAGACATACGTGGAGAGATCCTGCATACAGCACTGTGGACCTGTTATCTCGCTGTTATTAATGAGCATTTCTTAATCACGGAGTTCTCCTGTTTGTGGGCATACATGGGTACTGGAGCTGTGCGAGAGGCCAAGCCCTGCTCCTGGGCAAAGTTCAGATGGCCCAAGATGGGGGGGGTCACAATTATTGCACTCACAAATGAGTATTGGGAAGGTCAGACCTGAAGTGCCTCGATGAGAAGCAGTGCTCACACTCCAAAATCTGTGTATCTCGTGTTTTCCTTTCGGTGTTCAAATCCTCCCCCTGCCTGTCAGCCTGCAGCCATGAATCACTCCTGGGCACGTGGTGAACACATGAAGGCTGCAAAATATTTTGGTGGAGGAGAGGAATGGGGGTGGGAGCACGAGATAACCCGGCAGACTGCTCCCAGCCCTCCCAGTGCCGAGGTTCTGCAGCCTCCAGCACTTACATTCAAGGGCATCTTTAGATACTGTAGTGCAGTAGGGCTGATATTTCCAGGAGTCATCAAGGGTTGCAAGTAAAAATAACTTCCCCAGGGCAAGTCCCGGCTGCTCACCAGACTTTGTGGCTTCTGCCGTTGGGAGCTGGAATAGGTTCAGATGGAAAAAGAGACCCTGAGAAGCGCCCTCCCCAGCCAGCATCCTCTCCCAAAGCTCTGCATCTCCCCGAGGGGTGATGTTAGCAATGAGTCGCTGTTGTAACAGCCCTTGTTGTCTCTCCGACAGCTTCACAGAAGCCATGAAGAGCCAGCCGAAGCTGGACGGCTTGGACAGCCACTGGGCCTATTACTCAGGCTTGGCCATCATGGCTGTAGGGACCTTGTTTGTCATCTCCAGCTTCTTAGCACTGGGATTCACCGGGACCTTCCTAGGTAAGCACTAAAAATTCAACAGCTGAACCAGAAAGGTCATTTAATCCTCCCAGAGTTGGACTTAATCATCCCTGCGGGTCCCTCCCAACTCAAGATATTCTGTGTCTATGATTTTGGTAGGGCAGAACCTTCTGTGAATTTCCTCTTCCTTGTCTTCAGGGTGCGTTTAGGTTTGGTCTTGGCTTTGTGATACCAAAGCACGACATAGCCTTGCTGTTACTTTGCACGAGATGATCGTGCAGTGATTTTCTACAGCGAGTCTAATCACCTTCTGCATCAAGCCTGAAATGTTAGAAACCAGCTAATGATCTCAGAGATCAAACATCTGACAGAGAAGGCAGCCCAAGGGCAGATCTTGTGAGCAGGTCAGCACCAACACCAGCACTGCACGGTGGGAAGAGGAGGAAGAAGAGGAGGATGAAGAATTAGGAGCCATCCAGCAGCCTCGTGCTGAGCCCCGGCACTTGCTCAGGCACAATCTCACTTGCTCTTCCCCTTGCAATAAACACAACATTCTCTGACAGATTCTTTTATCTGCCGCTTCATGGCAAAAGGCATTTTCCACTGTGCCTGCTTTCACATTTAGAGCGTAATTCTATTAGCATTGTTGACTTTAGAAACATGCCAGTATGTGTGGAATTCATAAAAATAAAATAGAGACAGGAACAATAAATACCAGAGGAAAGGGGCAGCTCCCGCTGGCTGGAATAATGACAGCTCTAGCTTTGACACTGCATTTAGGCTGTGCTTTTTGCAAGTGCTTTACAAACCAAATTCAATTAGCTCCTGCCGCGTCTCCAGGAAGAAGAGAGGGCGGGAATAAGCCTTCCTGCTTTCAAGTTGAGCTGCAAAGAAATGTGTTGAGTTGGCCAAGCTCCTGCTGCCAGAAACAGATCCCAGTGCTCCTGGACGTGTGCTCTCAACATTGATGCTCCTGGCCCCGTGTTGCATCCCTATCCCCAGGCCACGGGGCAGAACGTACCCACGGTGATGCTGTGTGCATGGAGACGTGTCCGGGAGGCCAGGCAGGGCAGCACCCATCAGCTCGAGCTGGTTGAGCGCTCCTGAAGCACAGCCAGCTCTGGGCTTGCTTACGCAAAGCCTGATTCACTGCCCACGAGGACCCACTGGCCTTGAACCACAGGGGGAAAGCAAACGAGTGAGTCAGGCTCAGCGTAAGCAGGGGCACAGCCCCGTGCTCTGAGCAGGGAGGAGTTGGGTGCCGGTGGCCTGTAGTGGCACTTGTGCTCATCCCACTGAGTCAGCAGCAAGGAGGGGGTCTGCAGGTCTCGGGGGGCTCACGTGGTGCCATCTGGCTCAGGACTGTACTCTCACCGCTCTTTTGCACACACAGCACTGGCGCGGGCAGCGCTGGCACTTCTTGCTGCGGGTGGCAAAGAACTGAGCTTCTTCGTCAAGAAAAGGGTAATGACATCATCCTGATCTTCTCAGTCGACTGAGCTCAAGAGACGTTTTGAGAGATCAAGAGATTCCCAGGCATTTAATAAACTGACTGCGACAGCATCGGA